AAGAACAGTAGTCTTAATTCTCTATTATACAATTATAAACTATGATCTTATCACACCAACTAAGCTAGAGTGTATAAACTAGGGTGTATAGTTCTGTGGTCCTCACACTAGGCATGTCTGTGTGCTGAGGGCCTGATACCATTTTCTTATCACACGTGGCTTTTATTAATTGACACTGGGTCGACGTACGATTATTACATTATGTAAGCTTTTTGTTTTTCAAATAATAAAAATCCTATAATAAAAATTTATATTAAGTTAATATGTATAAAAACAAATAATTAGAGGTAAAATAATAGTGAATTGTTAGTAAAGAAAATACTGTTCTTCATAAATATTAAAATAATTAATAAAACATATATAAATTAGAAACTACTATAGATACATATGGATATTACATACTGTATTCATATATTTTATTCACGTAAATTTATGATAAAGAATACGGTTTAATTAGGTTTTCTGTACTATCGTAGCTCAGAGTAAATAACCATTTTAATATGGTTCTTTTAGCTTCCACCACTGATTTTTCTCTTATATCGCAATACTTAAGGACGGAATTGCACACTTGAGTTCTCACGAATTTCCCAAAATGTTTACAAAAAGCAGAATTAATAACGGGATTTGGCAAGCGGAATACTCTTCGTTTCAACAATGTCTAATACTCTGGAGATGCCAGTGTACACTTATGAACAGTGAGGGAGGTCTTCAATATAAAAAGTTGTCTTACATTTAATAGTCCACTGTCCTTATATAAATCAAAAGTTGAATATCTATACGGCTTTTTTAACAATACTTTTATAACCAAACGTTGCACTCTCTCAACTCTGATCAGGAAAGTTTTTGCTGCACTTCCCCAGCAAGTAATACAGTAAGTTATAAGAGATTGGCATAACGTAAAATATACAGATCTTAGAGTATTTAAGCCTGCTATGTCCCGCAGATGCTTTACAACACCAATAACCTTCCTGACTTGAGCAGAAAGAGCTATTATGTGATTTTCAAATGTCAGTTTATCATCAACGAGGACACCGAGATATTTAATTACATCGGATCTACTCAAGGTCTCATCACAAAAAAAGCATATTTTGAACAACACGTAAATAAAAATATTAAAGATTCCAAAACCCTGTGGAAAAATTTGAAAAATGTAGTATATTTCAAGAATAAGACTGAGGAACTTCCTCATCAGTTTAATGACTCTGATTTGATAAATAGACATTTCCTAAATATACTAGGGGGTGATCCGGTACCAATTACTCATATTTCCTACTTTAAACACAATAGGCACAATTCTAGTAATCTTAATTTGTCTACAGTAGCAGAAGAATTAATATTCTGTAGCAGAAGAATTAATATTCTTCTGCTACAGTAGATTTATTAGAGATTGTATTACAGAATGTGAGGGCTCCTGTTATGGACTGCTTAGCTAACTCTTTAATAAAACATATAAAAGATTCGATCATCCAGACACTCACCTATATCTACAACCTAAGCCTAGAAAGTGCAGTTTTTCCATATGATTGGAAACTTGTATCTGTTTGTCCTATTTATAAGGGATGTGGCTCAAAGGTAGCTGTAGAAAATTATAGGCCCATCTCGCTATTAGGCGCCTTTTCAAATATACTTGAGAAGCTTGTAAACAAAAGGTTACCCGGATATTTGGAATCTCGACAGTTGATCTCGCCAGGACAATTCGGATTCAGAAAAGGTCGAAATACTGAAGATACTGTATCCCTTTTAACATCTACGATATCCTTAATACTTGACTCTAAACAGAGCTGTGTTGGCGTTTTCTTAGATTTAATCAAGGCCTTCGGCACTGTATCAATTCCAGTACTTTAAAAAAAATTAAACTATATGGGTGTTAGAGGTATTGCCGGTAATTGGTTTCAGAGCTATCTCACGGACCGGATACAGTGTGTGAGGATTGGTCGGGCTGTGAGTCTGCCACAGTCTGAAAGTGCTCAACAGCTCAACAACATGAAGTATATCCTCTAATCTTAGTAAAATAAACTTAATATTTGAATTTAATTAAAGACCAAGAAGATTTAACCACACCATCAACGAAAAGAAACGAAACAGTAAGTTATCTGAAAATTAGGGTGGAGATAGAAAAATAAATAAATACAGTGAGTCTTACAGTCATCAAATCTTTTTAGCATTAAATGGAGGCCTTTTAAATTGTGCACGTAAAAAAAGTATTTTTTTAAATTACGAGGGATTATGGTCTTGTTTTAAAATTAATATCAGTTTTTTTTTTTAAATATTCCTATAGTTTTTAGAGCACGTACTACATTTTTCAAATTTTTCCACAGGGTTTTGGAATCTTTAATATTTTTATTTACGTGTTGTTCAAAATATGCTTTTTTTTCATTTAGCATAGCTTCTGTAACTATCTGCTTCATGTTTTTATAACAATTTTTAAATGTGTTATTTTTTTTTTGTATTTAGCATGATAGTCGTCGCGAATTTTGATCATTTTACGTACTGTATCCAAGGGTGAGGTGGTGACTTGAAATGAGTGGTTTTAAGTGGAGCATGTAGATCGAAGAGAATGCTGGTAACAGAAAACAAAACGTAACCATGTCATTAACGTCATTAAAATTTGTACAAAGTGACCTATTAGTGTTCTGTAAATCACGGGTAAATAATTCTGTAACAATATTACTTAGTGGTCTACATGTGAAGTAACGAGGAATAGGTTTTTCCTTTTTTATATTAAATTCAGCAGTAACAATTGCATGGCTTCCCAAATCGGGTATATACTTGACTAGGGTGTTTCGTACTCGAGCATCAGAACAGATCAAATCTAGCATTGCTTCGCTGTTGCTAGTAAAATGTGTCGGAGTATCAACAACTTAATTATATCAATGATATACATGACCTACCTATGGAAAACGCCGAAACGATATGTTACGCCGATGATACTGCTATCGTATTCCATGGCTCAATGTGGAACGATCCTTTGTACAGTGTTGAAAGAGGTCTAAGACAGGTCTTTAGTTGGCTATGCTTTCATAAAACAGCAGTCACTGCGCCAGTACAACAAACAGTGGTTAAGATTCATGAGCCTTCTTGCACAAGCAAATCGTGTGCCTGTGATGAGACCTTGAGTAGATCCGATGTAATTAAATATCTCGGTGTCCTCGTTGATGATAAACTGACATTTGAAAATCACATAACAGCTCTTTCGGCTCGAGTCAGGAAGGTTACTGGTGTTGTAAAGCATCTGCGGGACATAGCAGGCTTAAATACTCTAAGATCTGTATATTTTACGTTATGCCAGTCTCTTATAACTTACTGTATTACTTGCTGGGGAAGTGCAGCAAAAGCTTTCCTGATCAGGGTTGAGAGAGTGCAACTTTTGGTTATAAAAGTATTGTTAAAAAAGCCGTATAGATATTCAACTTTTGATTTATATAAGGACAGTGGACTATTAAATGTAAGACAACTTTTTTATATTGAAGACCTCCCTAACTGTTCATAAGTGTACACTGACATCTCCAGAGTATTAGACATTGTTGAAACGAAGAGTATTCCGCTTGCCAAATCCCGCTATTAATTCTGCTTTTTGTAAACGTTTTGGGAAATTCGTGAGAACTCAAGTGTGCAATTCCGTCCTTTTCCGATTTTCCTGGCCCCATGGCCTCCGCGTATCAGACTCAGGGGGGGGGGGGGTCCGATACGCAGTTGGAGTTGGAAGCCGTGGAGGGGGACGTACCTTGTGTTCCTGGTGCACCTTGCCTGAGAAGGAGAATGGGGAGGAGAGATCCTTCCCCGAGAAGGGTTGCCATGGTGGCAGCCAACGCTGGTGGGGCCGTGGATGTGTGCGAAAGCGTTCCCGTGGCCCTGCCAATATGCGGCTTAGATGGAACACCATGGGCTTTTAATCGGTGCGAGTCCGACGTAACCCGTCCTTGCCTCGCGAGGCAGATATGCGTAGGCATTTCCCTATGTAAAAAAAGGTTATGTCATAAAAATAGGTAAAGATGTGGCGGACATGAAAAAATCAGTTTGCGATCTGTTTTAAGCACGCTTGACCAAAGTGCTGAAAAGCCTTTTGTCGGGCGTGAATAAGGCACACGCATATAACGGTTAGGTCATGCCTGTCCTCATGTATACCTTTGGCATACTCAGGTGGAGTCAAACTGAACTTAATGCCCTGGACAGAAAAGTCCGCACTACCATGACGTTTCAAAGGATAAACCATTCGAGATCGTCAGTAATGAAGCTGTACTTTCGGCGAAAGCATGTTGTGCGTGGCATTTTGAGCGCACTCACCATGCATTTTCGCGAAGTATGCAGCATCTGTCATTAGTTCCTGGCGAGATCGGATGATTCATCCTATAAGAACGTCATTTCTTGTGATAAAGGGCGTTACCCCTCTATCCTTAGCCAACTAGCAATGGCAAGATCAATGGTAAATTGATCCGGAACCTCAAGATCGTCAGTCACGTTTACGATCACTAGACCCTAGAGGCAGTAGAAAAAGACAGAAATAACTACTATTAATACTAATGAATATCCTTTCTGATTAGAATTATTAGAAATTAGAATCTACTTGATTTTCCCTACTACATATCTCCATGATTCAAAAAGGTTCTAATTCTAATTTAAAATAAATCATAAATCCTAACGCTAAAGTATAGAGTGATGTACACCCACTACTAAGTAACAAAATAAGTATTCATTGTTTAAAAACTTAATGTAAATTTGCTTAACGTATAAGACAAATTGCTGCATAAAATTTTTTTAAATTTTTTAAAAATGTTTTCTTCAATAAGATTCAGTTCCCGAAATTTGTGAAATATCAGGTGTAATACGTTCAACATACGCGCGCGCGCGCATGTTATACAAGTTTAACAGTGATTAACCCGTATGCTGAGACAACTGCAGGAAAAAGACAACTACAGGAATAATTTCGGTTTATTTTATTGTCTTGGAAATAACATGAGTTACAATTAATAAAACATGTGAATAATAATTGAAAAACTTACTTGCAAATATTTCAGAACCCCAGCGCATTGATGTCAAGCAGGCAAATGTGTTTGAGATTATAGGTTTGTATAGAATCTAAAAAAATAAAAATTAATGAATTAAAAGTACACATATGTTAACCAGGTAAGACATACTGGAAGTTGATGGATCGTGATTATGGTATTTCTGCTGTTTGGAGGGAAAAATAGGTAAACGGAATATTTTTTATTAGATTTTATTTACAGGATACGAGCACACAGTCCACCTGATGGTAAGTGGTTGCTGTGACCTATAGACATCTAAATTTATCCTTGATGAATAATCAAAATGCGGATGCGTCGTCACGCGTGAGGAGTAAGACAGAATGCCTCTTTACCAGTAAAATGGGTTTCCGGTTCTCTACACTCACCATACGAAACACAGCAGTGTCAAGTTGCCATTTTACGCTGGTATTCTGTGAGAGCGTGGTCCTTCCCCGGACGAGCCGACCAATTCGTGCTACAACTATACCACTAATATAGCTGCATCATGGCTCTACTACGATGAATTTCTAGTTAAAAGTGGGGCGCTTCTACCTAACACATCTATCAGCTTATTATATATTAGATTTATGTCATGACAAGAGTTCAATGCTCAGCAGCAATACTTAGAACGAATTTCATGGTTATGTTAAGGATAATAATCAAAGTAGTCTAGAACATCTGAATTTTAACATTGATTACTGACAATGATCAGAAAATTGAGGTTCTAAGTTAAAATATTTTTATAGGAAATAAAGTATTGAATTAAAAGAATATTTAACGACTATTATAAATGTAATTTGGATGGTTATTTCACTATCATGCAATGAAATAAATCCAATTTTTTTAACATTCTTTGACATAAATATAGAAAGTAAATAAAAATACTTAACCTGATAGGCGAAAATATAATTAAAATACCGTTTATCATTAACGTCAAAGTAAATAAAATCCATCTTTAATGGCAGATATTGAAATCCATGAAGACCAGGTACTACTAAGACGTGCACTGGAAATTAAAAAACAAAACCTTAAAACATTTAACTTTTGCATAGCAGTAGTTTATGAGAAAAAGAAATGTTTGTTTGGATGTAGCGAAATAATAAATAAGTGAAAATTAAAACGGTACAGAGCCATTCGCAGGGAGACACCTTCGTAGCCGTTAAAAAGAATCCAGGCTAACATTAAGCATGATCATTACCTTCAACAGTAATTTCGAGATGTTGATTTTTGTTACCTATCATTAACGGTACACTATTATACTATTACTGTTAATGATGCTCAAAACATCCGAAAATTTTGTGACCTTTCGTTGTAACTTTCACGTTTATGCATCTGTTTATAATGTGACGTTCAAGCTCACAAAATCTTAACACATTAAACTTGATTTAGTTTTTGATTACAACATAACATTTAAACTTTAAAATCATTATTTTATATTCGTGCAGAAGCTCCTATTTTCATTTTCTTACCAGCTATATCCACTGCTGAAAGTCCCAATATAAAGATGAACAAGCATCTGGTAATAAATATTTTCGTCTGTGTCGTTTTCTTATAATCTTTAGTAAAATCACAAAAGTCTACATTTGTCATCTGCTTTATTAGGTTCTTTATAGAATTACGACGTATAATAAAATCCAAAAGTTTGATTGTGATAAGTAGTTCAGTTATAATTAAATTTAACCTGCAAAAATCAAACATCGAAAAATGGGTAGTATGTAATAACAATGTATAAAGGTGTAACAGTGTCGTCCTCTGACATAATAAAATATTAAACTGTATAAAATGAGACAAGAATAATGAATAAAAGGTGAAAGAATATCTTTTGCTCCTAGAGCCGGCTATGGGATATGTTAAAAAGATTCTTCTGCCATGCCTGATAATAATTTTCAGCAGTGAACTACTATGGTTAAATTAGGAAGCTGGATAGTGGGACTTTTAATTCATGAAAAAATATTGGATATGCACATAATTTATATCAAATATAAGTAGAATAAGCACATAGCACTTACATTCCAGCCATTACTTGAACATCTGCATTTTCGGAATAAGCAAGACGTATTAGATATATCAACTGCCCACCTGTGGGTATAATAAAGACAGAAATTCCAATGAAAGTCTTAATAAGTAAAACTTTAAAAAAACTTAACGATTTCACTGGAAACGGTATGAAGAACCAGGTTCCCATTGCTTTAAGAGTGTCAATTTGCCACGAAACAAATTGATATAAGTCTACATTTGGTGTATTAGTAGTCATAGTGATGATTGAAATTCGTAGTACAATACTTCATTAAAATTTATTTTTTTTGTAATTGAATTAACACTGTAAGAACGCAGGTTATTTGTTTATAGATTTATTTTAATTCAGTTAGTCTTTTTTTTTTTCATTACTTGTATTTGCTAGAATGCAACTAAAATTTAATGTCTAAAATATGTACTTATATTATGTAATAGTCATCAATTATTTGAACAATTATATAAATTTGCCTTAATTACTCGCTTGCGTAATTGCTGCCATTAATTTAATTACATCATAGATACGTGTCATTATATTATTTAATTTAATAGCTTAATTCGAGTAATAAATTCATCATAAAAAATCATATAAATTTTAATTCCAAAACATGCGGCTCACCTGAGCCGCATGTTTTGAATTTTAATTAAATAAAGCAGCCATTGTTTACACTGTACCATACTAATGAATATCGAATATTATTATTGTTATGAAAATTATTATATTAGTAGGTACTCGTACTTTCAATTTCAATAAAACTTTAATTTATTTAATCCAACAAGAATGTACACTATACTATCATTACCACGATAAAGTTTAGTTAATATTAAGTGTGTTACATGCTGTGTAGTATTAGCAGTCATATTGTACAAACACTTCAATACTTCCATATATCGACAGTCAACTTGGCACCGCTGAAGGAACTGCAGCACCGCCCAAATTTCGACGGAATCAAAGGCTTTCACATAGTCCACATATGCAAGACAGTATTCCTCGTTTTCTAGTATTTTAGTGGCAGATTGTATTCCTCGGTCTTCTGTAAAATTTTCCGAGGGTTATGTATGTGGTCTATGGTGCTAAAGCCTTTTCGGAGACCAGCTTGTTCGGGAGGCTGGAAGTCTTCGAGTCAGCGTGCGAGACCATTCGTAATGACTCTCGAGAAAAAAAACGTAGACGCGTCTCAGAAAGGAAATCGGTCTGTAGTTCTTCAAGAGAGCGTTGTCGTCTTTCTTGAAGAACAAGACCACCTCACTTCTTCTCCGCGCCACCGAAGTAATGCCACCATGGAAAACGGATTTAAAGAGCTTCTGAAGGACTTCAAGTACCGGTATTCCACCCGCTTTCAGAAGCTCCGCATTAATTCCATCCTTGCCTGAAAGTGCTGGATAGCCATTCTATTCTCGCTCAGACTGACGTCAGGTAGTGTCGGATAAGATTTGCTCTTTGATCGTTACTCACACTTGCGTGTGGCTCAGTTTCAGCTTTGACAGTTGGCTCTTTCTAGCAGACAGATCACTGGCAACGACTTTGGAGCCTCAATTTTTTATATTTTCCTTAATATCTTAGACACTAACTTTGATCAAGATTGCTGAGTGTTGTATATTGTGATATAAGAAACTTTTCACTACGATAGCTTTCCATTTTTGTTTTGGGCATTTTATGGCCTGCACTTATATTGAAATACCTATTACGATATGCTCGACCGCGATGTTTTTTTTTGTTTTGTATTCAGAGATCATTTCAAATTTAAAATCAAACCATATGTTTTCAAATCTTGTGTATCAAAATATACAATGTTTTAGTTTAGACACAAGTTTTGACATTGTGAAATTTCAGTCTAAATTTGAAATTGTGTTTAAATACCGGCCATTCCATTTTAATTTACAGCCTGTTCTTTTCTAAAAGGTCTTAACGCGGATGCAGTTTCTCTGATGTTGAAGTTGATCAATAGCAGAAACAATTACTTACAGTCTCTTCTACAAAAACTGAAACAGAACAGATAAAATAAAAACTATATTTGTGTTGCTATTAATTAAAATGATTAATACGTAGTTTTAAATATTTTTATTCCTTACTTGTACATTGTTGTAATACATCCGACTTTACTTCCTTGTGTGTGTGTGTGTGTGTGTGTGTGTGTGTGTGTGTGTGTGTGTGTGTGTGTGTGTGTGTGTGTGTGTATGTGTGTGCGCGCGCATGTGAGCGCGTGCATGTACGTGTGTGCGTATGTGGATGGGTGTGTGAGTGTGTGTGTGGGTGTGTATACGTGTGTGTGTGGGTGTGTGTACGTGTGTGAGCGCGTGTGAAGCGTCCAACCCAGATAAAGCACGACAATCATCGCTGGTTGATGTAGGTTGAAAGACTTCGTCCCTGAGCCCACGCTGTAGCGTATAACGGCTGCTCCATCAAGTTTTATCAAAGCTTATGGTAAATGCGTAGTTCTTAAGTTTTTTATTAATCTCAATCTCTACTATCATTTCAAACACTACAATTATTTAGCACGTTTTAAAAATTGTAAATTTGATAAACCCTGAAGAAAATGACATATATTTGATAATGAAGTGACCCGTAAAATGTTTGCAGCGTATGCAAGCCGGAGGCTTTTTACCCGTTTCCACCAAAATTTCGTTTGCACAAAGTTTGTTATTTCTTATCCTCGATTATGCTGACATTTGTTACCTTGATATCATCGAGGAGCAACTAACAAACTTGTGCGACTCCAAAATCTCTGTATACGGTTCATATTTGGGCTTCGTAAATATAACCATGTCTCAGAATACCGTACTAAGCTCAATTGGCTTCCAATTCGTCTACGTCGGGCAACTCATATAGTTTCTGTCTCTACTGCGTCTTATTTAATATATCAAGTCCTTCCTATCCAAAAGAACGTTTTAAATTGTTCAGCTCCTCTCATAATTTTTTTTCACGATCCAAAGAAAATGTTTTTCTCCAATGTCCTGTGCACTCCTCGACTTATTATGACAAATCATTCTCTGTTCTTGGAGTAAAACTTTGGAACTTCTTACCCCAGTCAATCAAAAGTGCTCGCTTCTTAAATGCGTTCCAGAAACAGGTTTATTTTTGTATTTATCTCTCTAGCCGAGAGGGGCTTTCTTACTCCACTTAATTATGGTCATTGATCTACCTGAAGAATGTTGTCTTTTTAATGAATAAATTTGTATCTTAATTTTTTTATTTTAGTGTACCCTACCCATTCTTTTATTCTTTATTTTTATTTATTTCTTCTTCTGTGTTGTCTGGAAGAGATTGCTATTGAGCAATAAGACCACCTTTTGTATTTCCCTCAACAGTTGTTAATTTTTTTTTAATATTTTTATCTTTTTTCGGTGTAAAATAAAGAAGATATAATAATATAAGTATTAATGACCGCTTCGGTACAATTACTGAAGCGGTCATTAATTGTCAATTGTATCATTTATCTATTGCAAGAAATGCAAGAAAAATTGACACTTGGCCACTTATTACTTACCCATTTATGTATCTAAATTATAATTTTGTATTTCTTTTTTCATTTATATTTTTTAAATAATAATTCCTATTTTAAATTTGAATAAATTAAAGAAGGGTGAGGGTGCAATTTGATTTACTTGAAGGCAGCTAACTATCATTGTAATGACGAGGAAAATGGTGATCTTGCTTTTTTCGGGCCTTATAATATTTTTTTTTTAATTCAAAACTTAATTAATCAAGCGTCGAATGACATTGACTTAGATACGACACCATATTTTTTTCTTGATATAAACTAAGTTCACCAAAGTACCACGGTTATTATATATTACCAAGTATCTACCACGGACTGTGCTCAGAGGAATTATTTGAACTAATTCCAGCCGCTAAATTTCACCTTTGCACTATATCATCTACCATGTATATGATTGGAGGTCCATCACTTTGCGATTTAGTAGAAGTTTTCTTGCTCGAACAATTTCCTTGTGAAATCGACTACCACGAGCGATTTTTTTCGGACCAATACGACTTTGGGATTTTCAAGAAAAAAGTCTACTCTATTTAAAAAGCCGGCAACGCATATGCAATTACCTAAAAGTACTGGATAGATTTCAATTGTTTTCGAATCTTTATTTATTAGACACTTAGCCCGTAACTTAAAAAAACACAACAACAAACACTCACGCCTATCACCCAGAGGGGTAGGCAGAGACTACGGACTTCCATTTGGCGCGATCTTGGCACACCTCTCTTGCCTCCTTTACATTCATATATCTACGCATACACGCTCGTCGGTTAAGGGTACTCCTAATCTGGCCAATTTTCAATGTATTGCCGATTTGGTCGATAAAGCTTCGTCTAGGGCATCCCTTCCGGACCCTGCCGTTCGCTTAAAAATATTGTGATATTCTTCATTTAGTATAAAGTTATTAAAGTAAAAAAAATGTTTACGTGGTAGAGCCATGCTGCAGCTATATTAATAGTATAGTTGTAGTACGAATGGGTCGGCTCGACCGGCGAAGGACCACGCTCTCACAGAATACCAGCGTAAAATAGCAGCTTAATGCTGCTGTGTTTCGTGTGGTGAGTGTAGAGAACCGGAGAACCATTTTACTGGAAAAGAGGCATTCAATCTTAGTCCTCACGGCTTACAACGCATCTGCATTTTAATTCGCAAACGAAGATAAATGTAGATGCCTATGGGCCACAGTAACCACTTACCATCAGGTGGACTGTGTGCTCGTTTGTCACCCTTATTCTATAAAAAAAAAGATTTTTATAAGCACTAACTGTTCAGTGATATTTGCTTTCTCGTAAATTCTGTGTGTATATCAAGCAACGCGGACATAGTCGCGGTTATCAGCTGGTATATAAAATAACCGGCCAAGTGCGAGTCGGACCCCCACATGAAAGTTTCCGTACCATCGTAATACACGTTTCTAGTAGAGGAGCACGTTTTAATTTTTAATTTATTTTATTTGTTGTTATCGTGTCAACAGAAATAAACATTCTGTGAAAATGTCAACTATCTACCTATTACGGATCATGAGATACAGCCCGCAGACAGACAGAAGGACGGACGAACGGACAGACGCACAGACGGACAGAAGAATGGATAGCGGAGGCTTCGCAATAGGATCCCGTTAGTTACCCTTTGGATACGAAACCTAAAAAGTACGATTTTATACACACACAAATAGACATCCTTTCGAAAACAGTGTAATTAACCCCATTGATTCGAATCATGTAAAAACATCTATATTGGAGGTTAATAT